ATATATATATATATATATATATATAAGGGTGCAATGTCCCGATTGTTGGACGGTTTGTATCTTACGTATAAAACCGTGTTTAGATGATACAACATTCCGTCTTTAAATAACGTGACCCTCTTACGCAAGCACGCGCTTAATAGCTGTATCAAAAGTTACGAAGGCGTTACGTTAGTTACACACGTTTGTCGCCTTGACTTCGATCCGTATTCGATGATGATTCTCATCGGCTGTTCGTTCCGCATATGTAATCGCTCGATCGATTTAAAAACCGTTAAAAATCGGGCAACAAGTGTTGTTTCAAATCTTCTTCCGGATTAATCAAGTTATTTTCGAAGCGATTGATTTTTCTATTCTATTAACGTTTTCACGAGTTCTTCGGAAGAAAATTGTTGAGGATAATTGTGCAATAATTATTGTATTCGTATTTTATATATATTTTAAATATATTGTTATTAAAATTTATCAAGTAACGTTGTTTAAATATTTTTGATGATGAAAACGATGTATTATTTATTGTCAAAAATTTTATTTTGCAGTGTGATAATTAGGTTTATTTTTTTTAATCAATTTAACAATCGAATGACGTAAATTAATTTTTAATTTTACGTATTCGTTATTGTGAATTATTTTTGACCCAATAACCTTTAAGGATTGATCATTATAGATTTATCAAAATGTGGAAAAAACTCTTTGTGAACGAGATTATTGGATAAATTTAGCGTTCATTTGATATCGCTCACTTTTGAATCGGCAAACTATATTCTGTGAGGATTAATCTTTACACGAAGGGTTCGTTAGGAAATGAAAGAGTTTCTAAAAAAATGAAAATTAGATAAGTTTAATATTCATTGATGCGGTTCACTTTTGATCCTAAACCCGTATTCAAAAGATTCAACTTCATACACTGAAAGTGAAATAATGCCTTTTATGAATTAAATAAATTATGGGTCACGTTTGATCCGACAATCAAAAGTTAAATCTTAATGCAACGGATTCGTTAGAAAGTAAAAAGTTATTTTACGAATAGAACAAGATTGCTTTTAGATTTATTAAAATTTTAATTAACAATTTGAAAAGTTTTGTAACGACAATAATAATAGTCAAAATGGATGCAATCATTTCTTGATTTTTTTGCTTCATTTTGAATAGTTCATTTTAGATAGGAAAATTTTTTTCGTCTTACGTAATCCAAATTTTATCTAAAAGGAACATTCGTTGTATATTAGAGAAGCTAAGAAGTGTGCAACCAGCGAGGAAACATTTTAGAACACAACATGGTTTGTAAAAGCCACGCTCCATCCCACCGTTTCCTTTCCTATTGTTCGCCTTGCTCTACCAGTTATCTACGTCGCAGCCGATTACGTAACGTGTATCCTGACTTCTCCGTTCCACTGATTTAGTGAAATCTTGTGTGTATCTTCTTTTTTTCTAATTGAATAAACGTATAATATGTTAATTATGAACACGATAAATTCTCTGCTCCAAAAAATCAAATATATTTAAAAGTATATTTTTGATCAGTATTTTATATTTTGGTGATTTCGACTTATATTTTGACATTGACATGGTTTTTTAGCGAAAAAAAACTCAATTAAATTATCTGATAATTGACCTCTCTAAAACAAAATATATTAGATTTACTAACCCGTGAGCTGTCAATATATTAAATACAGAGCAATTGAATCTATACTTTCTTGTAATTTTAGTAAAATTCTCTTCCTGACAATATTTTATAACGTAAATGTAATGACAGGCTTAGTAGTCTTCGAAATATTATTTTTGAAATTACAAAATTTATATTATACGAATTATTATATGAATATATACTTATCCGAGTACTTAAACTCTCAATATAGTAGGATAAAGAGTCTTAGAAGATAGCATCAGGCAATAAAAGGTTAAATCGTCTAATAAACTATAAGAAGGCAATTCAATATCCTTTTTTATATATTTCACGGTATCAATGCCAATTCAATATTACGAGTATCGCTCGCACTTGATGGTATCCGTAGTAGCCAATATACAAATAGCATCGGCATTGGTACTATTAACAGTACCGCCATCACGAGGAACACTAGGTACTACTATCCTAGTGGTGGAAGCAAGAGGAGAACAGAGGGCTAGTAGGAAGCAGCAGTGGGAGCAGGAGGAGGAGCGGAGGAGAGTGAGGTGGGGCGATCGATATAGCGTGGGTGGATGTGCAGAGGTGCGGTAGGACAGCCGCCAGTTGTGCTGTCGGCTGCATCAACGAAGAATCGTGCTCTCTCTCAATCGGTTGGCAGTGCACCGCGTTCTCCTTTATCCGTGGTTCACAGTGTCCGGTTGGCGTATATGTATACCTGAATGCATCGAACTTTATTCGATGGGAATCTATGGTGATTTCTGCCAGCTCGATATACGCGATTCCTTCTTCATCGACGAATATATCCATCTTTGGTCAATTTTCGGACGATGGCGGTGCAATATCTATAAGAATCATTGGAATGTGTCACCGTTCGGTTCCAACTACGCTCTTTGATCATTGTACCGTAACAAAAACTTTTTTCCGCAATTTTCTCAATCGAAACTTAAAAGATCAAAGATTTCCTTTTAAACGTTGCGTATAAATATACAAAATAATCTTGGAAACATAGAAACATTTCTTAAAAGATCCGTGAAAATTATCGCGATCGTATGTTACGTCGGAAAAACATACGTCTCGCGTATACGATCGTAATTCGCTCGTAATAATTTTAAAATTGTTTCGAGAAGAATCTTCGTATTGTCGCGAATTTATATCTTTTCATTTTTTGAAAATATAATCGAAGATTCTATTTTATAGATAAACGGAGAAGTTTAAGCTCGACGAATTTCTTCGCATGATTTAGAACTAGGAAGCAAGGTACGGGCGCGCATAGTTTCGAATAGTCGTAAGCTTCAGGAAAATCTTCAAGCGAAAACTTGAAAATAGAAACGAAGTATGCACGATACGAATAGCATAGCGACGCGCCTTTTTGTGGATAGAACCAAAGATAGAAACTAAAGAAAAATAAAAAAAAAAAAAAAACTATTCCTAGAACTATAACCTATTACAATCTATTATAAAAGACAATATCATAATAAAAATTATCGAAGCATTCTCGAAGTTACAAAAGGGGAAAAGTCAAGGCGATTGCCGTGATGGAAAGGTCCATTCTTATATCCAGTTCTATAACTTGAAATCGAACGTTCCAAATTTTGAAATTTTTCTTATAAAACGAATCGATGCGTGTAGAGCGCTAGGAATAAACCGGAACCAATTTTCTTCGTCGTGTACAGTGTTGGCACGCAATTTTATGAAATAGGTGATGCAAATTGAATGAAATAACAAGCCGGTGCTCTATCGTCAAGTCGATGTTGAGGGAATCAATTGGTACATCGCGTTAGTGTCGCGACAAACACACTGGCCTACATGTCTGTTTATTGGCGGCTCGTTCACGGCTCGTATTTAACGTCCCCCTTCGCATTCTTCAGCTGAATTTTCCTGGTCCCTCACGACTACAGACGAGACGACGCAGTCGCGGAAAAGGCGACCGCAGCCTTACGGCGATGGCGCAGTTGTACGCACCCAATGCATCCCTCGTCGTGATACACCCTTT